CCCTCCAGGCCGCTGGCTCCGCGCCCTGTGCCACGACTACTCCACCTCCGCCCGCGAGGCCCTGGCGGGCGCCCGCCGCCGCCCCGGCGCCACCCTGGGGGTCCTGAGCGCCCTGGGGGCCCTGGGGGTCTGCGCCGGCTCCGTGCCCGACCTGCAGTCTCTGGAAGGGGCGGCGGTGGCGGCCGGGGGGGCCCTGGGCCGGTTGCCCCCGGGCTGTCGCAGCCCCCGGGCCGAGCGTCGGGTGCTGCGGCTGCTGCGGCTGCGGGAGCGCGGGCGCCTGCGGGTGCTGAGCCTGGGGGTGCTGGCCCTGGCCCACCAGGACCCCCACGGCGCCGACCCCGCGCTCTACGCGGCCACCTGCCCCCACCTGAGGCCCGGGTGGTTGGGGGGGGATTTCCTGCTGGACGTGGGGTTCCTGGGGCGCTGGTGGGGGCTGGAGGCGGCGCTGCGGGACTGGGACGTCAACGACGAGGAGTTCGGGGGGCTGCCCGAGCCCCTGAGGAGGCTGGACCCCCAATCCCTGCGTTCAGAGCGCAACGAGAGGCTCTTCCTGGAGAGGCTGCGGCCTGTGGTGCTCAGGGACGAGGACATCGAGGGCGAGGGGGGGCACTGAGAGACCCCCGGGCACCTCCCCGGGTCAGGAGGACTCTGAGAGTAATTTATGGTTTATTGGGGTGGAGGAAATGTGGGGGATTTGACCCCAAAATTTGGGGATGAGGATCCCCCAAACCAGGAGGATTCAGAATATAATTTATGTTTCGTTGGAGTCAAGGAATTGTGGTGGATTTGTCTTGGAAACTGGGGAATGGGGGCGGCCCAGAGGATCCCCCAAACCAGGAGGATTTATAATATAATTTATGGTTTATTGGGGTGGAGGAATTGTGGTGGAGTTCTTTGGAAAAGCAGGGAATGGGAGCGTCCCCAAACCAGGATTCAAAATATAATTTATGTTTCATTGGAGTGGAGGAATTGTGGGGGATTTGGCCCCAAAATGTGGGGAATGGGGGTGGCCCAGAGGATCCCCCAAACCAGGAGGATTCAGAATACAATTTATGGTTTATTGGGGTGGAGGAAATGTGGGGGATTTGACCCCAAAATTTGGGGATGAGGATCCCCCCAACCAGGAGGATTCAGAATATAATTTATGTTCTGTTGGAGTCAAGGAATTGTGGTGGATTTGTCTTGGAAACTGGGGAACGGGGGTGGCCCAGAGGATCCCCCAAACCAGGAGGAATCAGAATATAATTTATGTTTCATTGGAGTGGAGGAATTGGGGGGATTTGCCCTCAAAATGTGAGGAATGGGGGTGGCCCAGAGGATCCCCCAAACCAGGAGGATTCAGAATATAATTTATGGTTTATTGGGGTGGAGGAATTGGGGGGGATTTGACCCCAAAATTTGGGGAATGAGAGTGGCCCAAAGGATCCCCCAAACCAGAAGGATCCAGAATATAATTTAGGTTTCATTGGGGTGGTGGAATTGTGGGGGATTCATCCCCAAAACTGGGGAATGGGGGTGGCCCAGACCCCCCATCCCAGACACCCCCAACCCCCCCCAGCCCCTCCAGTCCCAAGGACCCCCTCCCAGACCCCCCCAGACCCCCCATCCCAGGACCCCCCCTCCCATCCCCTCCAATCCCATGGATCCCCTCCCAGACCCCCCCAGACCCTCCATTCCAGACACCCCCCGACCCATCCCAAGATCCCCAATGTCCGGGACCCCCCAGACCCCCCCTCCCCGGGATCCCCTCCTCTCCCATCCCCTC